TGTCCAGGTCACTATATGATGCTGGTGGACTCGCTCCTCCAAAACACCTCAATAATATTCAGATCTGGTGACTGTCAGACCATGGGAGATGTTCAACGTCACTTTCATCTTCATCAAACCCTTCTGTCACAAGTCTTGCTGTGTGTGTTGGTGCATGATCATGCTGATACACGGTTTGAGCATCAGGTGCTCATGATCCTCCAAAAGGGTTTGGTAGTCCTCAGCAGTGTCGTGTCCATCAAATACAATCAGGATTGTCATGATATTGGAGCTCAAACCATCACTGATCCACCCGTGCTTCACTCTGAAGATTGGCCGCCAGGCATATAGATGTGAAACCTCCAACATTGGCCAGTGTTTCAGTTTCATTGTCCAACCCCTGTAGCGCCTTCATAGACCTAATGGCCACCAAAGCGCTTTACATTTGCCTCAGATTCACCCATTCACACACCGACGGCGGTGTCAGCCATGCAAGGCGCCAGCCAGCTCGTCGGGAGCAAATGGGGTTAGGTGTCTTGCTCATGGTAACACATTCTCATCCCAAAAAGTCATATAACTGACGTCTTGGGGCGTATTTTGACCATACGTCAATATCCGCCTTTTTAGGGCCCCCTTAAATGTCGGTAGATGGCGATCCCGGGCCGTCATACAACTGACGCTTTACCTTTAACGTCAGTAAGGTGACGGGTTAGGTTTAGGTATGGGGTAGATTTAGGATCCCATAACCTCATCTACCGACGTTTAAGGGGGCCCTAAAAAGGCGGATATTGACGTATGGTCAAAAGACGTCCCAAAACGTCAGTTATACAACGTCTTAGGATGAGACCGGGTTGCTCATGGACACCTCGACACTTGGTCAGGTGGAAGCGAGGATTGAACCACCAACCTTTCGGTTCGTGGACAACCCACATGAACCACTGAGCCACTGCCGCCCCAATATATATGCTTATAAATATATATGCTTGCTTGACAGACAACACCAAATAATAAAGACAGTATACAAAGTGTCTGTTTTCTGGGTATGCTTTATAGTTTCCTGGCTTGTGATGTCTCGTCACACCATTGGACTGATTCTGTACGATCTTCATGATACAATCACGCAGAGGCGTTCCCACAGCCTCTCGACGCAGCTCGAGTTCCCTTGAAAGGAAATAGTAAATATACTAAAGAAATATGGCCGTTAGTAACACCGTTTATTTATAACGCCATTATTCCCATCACTCCTAGAAACGCAGATCTGCGACCTGAAAGGCCACCACGTACCTAATCCAGGGTCTGAGTGTCAGCCACATAATCGATGGAGATAGGCTTCAGTCTATCTGTCCATGTGTGGAAAATTACGCATTCCTTAGCCAATCAAAATCATTCAACCTGAATTAATGGCGTTTGTTAGACTTTGGTGCGGGATATAATTGCTGTGATCTTTGTCTGTAAGCGGGGCGGCCTACAAACTCCTTTTGAGTCTTGAAGCTGACTTCTGTGGATGAAACTGCAAACTATTTTCGGTAAAAATGTTCTTCAGTTTATTCGAATTCTGACTCTTGTCTTAAATACTGCACTTTTAACTACTTTTCTTAATTAATCATACTGTATCTTGTCATTGGGTCTTTAATTGTAAATTCCATTAGATTAATGTGTTAATATAAAGACATTTTCTGTATTGATTTTTCACAAACTCATTTTAATGACACATTTCACTGCATTGTGTTGTTTTTGGGGTTTAAGGAAATGTCAGTAAATTTACCGGTAATTTTACTTTGGCATATTTTGGCAAATAAAGTAGGTCATTTAAATATTTCATGCTTACAGAAAATGGAAATAATACTGCAGAAATAGTACGAATGATGTAATATGATTGCCATTTTTAACACAGTCTACGTATGACTGACTATGTGTGCAGGTTTTGTTGGTATATTTACAGTACTGTATGCTTCTGGTTCTCTGTCCACAACCCATTAAACTAAAGCATGGCATATCTCAATCTATAATGACCTAAATTCAGTGATGCCAACAGGGGGTGCTGCATTCAACGAGACACCATATGGGACTTTTGGACTGGCCCACTGTTTAAATTTTAAATAAACATTTCAATAACCAGTAAAATGACTCACTGTGCAATAAAGCACAAAAGCTATAATCAGAGATTTTTCCATGTCCGTCTATTGGAGTTGCATCTATTTCAGATTTACTCCTACATGCCGAGTAAAAGTAAAAGCAACTGTGGTTGTTCACTGAGGTTGGTCAGCCAGTCTCTTCCTGTTTCAGTTTTCCGCTTGTGGCAATAAGCTACTGAACAGAGTAAAGGAGTCGTTATGCTTATAAAACTATACTCTCCATAAGCTTCTCATCATCACACGTATACTTGTGCTGATCAACATTGGAGGAGAAACCTATGTGGTGAGTACTGGTTATTTTGTCTTCATTATGAGTGGTTAATTTGCTCTCACCTTGATGCTCTCTGTATCACCTTATAGCCAAAGGATACATTTTGGCTCTGTGGAGGTGCAGTGAAGGTTTTCCAGGACACAGGTTCAATGTTGAAAGCCATCACCGACTGAGATGCTACAGTGTCCAGAAGTAATTAAAAGACTGAATTAGTAACTGTAATTTGACAATTTAAATGTATATTTTCATTCTTGTTTAATGATTGATAAATATGCCATTGCAGCCATGCTATAATGCTATAGTAACAATTTCATTAGCTGATGGTTATTTCACTGTGTTGCCCCAATTGAGGCAATCATGTAATATAACTAGGGCTGTGCAAAAATTAATTGCGATTAATCGCATCCAAAATAAAAGTCTGTGTTTACATAATATATTTGTGTGTGCTGTATATAATTATTTTGTATATATAAATACACACACATGCATGTATATATTTAAGAAAATGTGTTATTCATGTATAAAATATTTATATTTATATAATATAGATTATGTATTTATAAATATATACAGAATTTAAGCGCAAATAATTCTTAAATATATACATGCATGCATAGGTATTTATATATACAAAATAATTATATACAGCACACACAAATATATTATGTAAACACAGACTTTTATTTTGGATGCGATTAATCGTTTAATCGATTAATAAAAGTTAATTAATTAACTTTTGCACAGCCCTAAATATAACATGTATAAAATATTTGTAAACATAAAAGAAAATAACTCAATGCTACTCTGAGAATATGATAAGAACTGATAAGAATGTAAATGTGTACCTTGAAGTGTTATGTAAAATGAATGTATCATTGTGCCTGACAAAAGCTTTAGCTTGTTCGGTTTCAATTGTTTGTAATACAAATGTATAAATATGTGAAAAGCTGTCATGTGCATTATGAGTTGTTTTTTGCAGTGCTTATCTCATAGATGTTTAAAGCAGAAAGCTCATACGAGACAGAATTAGAGGGGCATGAGAAGAAGGAAGTTCACACTTCTTGCAAATTGTTCTTGCCTTAAAAAGGACATTTTACATCTTCATCCGTATCAGGTCTGACCATGATATAACGTATACTACTACTATAGGTTTTGAACTTTCGACGTTGCCTAAAATTAGATGTGTAATTGCATTTGATCAACAATGAATCAACAATCTACTGTCGTAAAACCAAATTGTAAGAGCTTTTTAGTTCCTACAATGATACAGTTGATTATTGCAATGCATTTTACACAGCTTTAAATGAACAAAATTGGACTCTAAAGAGAACGTGAAGCCAATTTTATCTGATGAGATCATGTAACTAGTTAAAATCAAATTGCCACACACTGCTTTCAGTCACACAAAAGGGAACAAAAAAGGTTTAAAACTTGCAACACAAGAAGGCTTACAGTGGAAATAGGCAGCTATTGAGGTAGCAATGGGGTTTACAAAATAAAGAATATGTAATAAAAATTATAGAAAAAAATAATTAATATCTTACCACAAAAGATGCATAGTCTGATACAGAAGTTCTGGTCCATTATAACCTGTCAAGTGTATATATGGAGGATGCATGAGGTGGGACAGGCAAGGTAATAAATGAATGTGAAGATGATAAGGGCTAGTTCAGATATAAAAGTGGGTGGAAGCACCCAACTAAACAGGAACAACAATTTCATAAAAAAGGAAATGAGCACACATTCAAAAAAAAAAGTCAATACATGGTCAAAATTATAAAATGATTAAGACGTTATTAAACACACAGAATGACCAAGTATTTGTGCTTAGGGCACCCAAATGGCAAGCACCGGCCCTGTTCATGGGTATGAGGATTAAAATTCATGTTTTTGGCATATGCGTGAAATGTCTTGTTAAAATTCACACGTTTTTGGCCCCTTTGGCCTTCCATAGACAAGTGTGCACTTTACTGTGTAGGCAACTACAGCCCCGTTCAAATATCCTCTACTTATTCTACGCCCTAAAAGTATGTTCTCTTTTTGTGAAGAAAGTACATACTTTTGAGTGCGTAGTAAAAGAGTAGGCAAGCTTTGGGACATACCAATTACTTCGTCATGTTTAACGGACAGCTCTGTCACGTGCATCCTATCACCATAAACTGGTCTGTTCTGTTAATCATCTCATCACAGTTAAAATCCTCCATTCAATCTAATTCAATTTCTTACCGTTTCGGAGCGAAATGTTGTTGCACGTTCACCTGCCAGTCGTCGGTCTTTCATGCGGAGACTCTCCGAATGTGTTTGCAATTTGAATAATGATGCATTTAAAAGTTAATGGCTAAACGTATCTTTACAAAAGTTCACAATGCTTCTGCAGATGCAGTATAATAATGGAGCCAACATTGAATAAATACATTTTCGTCAGGTTAGATACTGACAATTAATCACTTAAACCCCTTTACCTAAACCTCTCTACACAACTGCCGGACTCGCGCGTCCTCCATGTCCGTAGTTTTTTAACACCTTTTCACTTGTGTTTGTAGTTCTAACCAAATCCTCGTCCAACACACTGTATATAGTGCGGTGTAATAATTTTGTGCCAGGTGCCACTCCTGTCAGCTGAGAACAGGAACTGAGGCGACAATTCACACGGACACACCAAAATGGGACAATAGAAGATTGAAAAACCATTGTCTGGTTTGATGATTCTGGCGACGTTCAGATGGTAGAGTCCGAATTTGATGTAAGCAACATGAAGGTTCAGGCTGCTGGTGGTGTAATGGTGTGGAGGATATATTATTGGCACACTTTTGGTCATGGATGTGCACCTGACAAATCTGCAGCAATTGTGTGATGCTATCATGAATGTATGGACCAAATCTGATTCCAGCACCTTGTTGAATCAATGCAACAAAGAATTAAGGCAGCTCTGAGGACAAAAGGAGAGTCCTAGCCAGCGAGTGTACGATTACTCACACTAATTCACATGAGAAACTAATGTTTCACAGCTAGTAATACTGACAAATAATTCTGTCTTGAAGCAACTTAATGAAGGGCTGACCCAACACTATCTCACGACCAATTCGTACGAATTCGACGCATGATTAAAAAGTGGCTAATTCGTACGACCTCACTCGTACTAATTCGTACGATTTGTCTAAACCCACGTGATGGTTAAGTTTAGGGGCGGGGTAAGGGGTAGGTTATTCGTACGAATTCATACGAATTGGCCAATTCGTAAAATATGTACGATTTAGCAAAATCGTATTAATTCGTACGAGTGAGGTCGTATGAATTGTTACGAATTAGCCACTTTTTAATCATTCGTCGAATTCGTACGACTTGGTCGTGAGATCGGGTTGGCTGACCGTATGACAATATAGGTTAACTTTAAATATGTGTCGCTTACCATCCATAATGAAGTGTTCTTTATCCAAGGTAAGAGAACAGGCTTTAAGTTGTCCAGACTTTGGGAGGGCAGACCCTCAAAAGTGAACATTAATTCATTAAATAGTGGGCTGAGAGAGTCCTCTGTGCAAGACTGGACAAGGTGAACAATTTATAAATTGTTACATACATACAGTTATGAAACTCTAGATAGCACAGATTTGCGTGCCTATTCTTGCAGCAGCGAATTTTACAATCTCACAGCAGCGTGTCTGTGTATCTTTTTCCAATAGCAAATCCATAGTTGACCAAATGCACAGGCCAGCCATGACCAAACATATTAAAATTGTCATTTTCAAATATCCATTAACATACTATTCAAAGTTGTATGTATATTACAAAATTAGAAATGGCTTGTTTGCTACTACAAAAGAATTAATACATGACTTACCTCTATAAGGAAAGGATGGTCTTTGCATACCTCCTCCAGTGTAACATTTACAACATTATTGAGGAGGACACGATTTTTGGGTGAGAAGTATGCTCGGTGGTTATATCGCTTGGCATCCAGCATGAATGTATAGCTAATATTTGCAGCCAAATCTGGAAATGGCATTGGATAACATTTTATGGTATTTTTATTCAAATTTTTTATTGAAATGAACAAAGTCTGCGATAAAATTTGGGGGAACCTGTTAAAGCTTGGTTGTATCCACTCATTTTGAAGCACACTGTCAAGGTGTTTTCCAGTGGCCTGGTGCAGTTTGCTTCAACTGTTGAAATTGTGGATGGGTTGTAGGTTACTTTCACATCCACAGACACTATTGGTCTGGACCTGGATGTTGTAGGAAAACACACATTTGCGAAACTTAACGAATTAATGGATCAGAGTCTGTGTGTTACTGTTTGTGAATTTATTGGATGTCTATTATTAATCAGTTCATTCTATAGACCCCTTTTCAGTTGGTAAACATGGTGGCTTTTTTATGTGGACGGAACTTAGGTGGAGGCAGAACGATCCCTCTGGCCGCTTCACTAATGCTAGTTAGCAAGTTTTATTAGCTTGTTTTTTATCAATGACTGGAGAAAATCAGATGTTATCTTAATGTGTAAGGTCACTCCCTGTCCAGGACCGCGATTGTTATTTCCAAAAGTTATTTTTAACGGACAGAACCAGATTGGCCGACCCGTTACCGTCTACACGCTCAAACAATGCATGGACGACCTGACAGGACTGCTAACATTACGTTACCTGGGTTGAGTGGCCTGACTTCTACACCTACCTATAGACCATTTCACAAGATGTAAACAACACTGGTCCAGACCCAGACAGCAAACTGACATTGAATCAACGTGGAAACAACGTCTTTCATGACATCGAAACAACGTTGATTTTGCTCATCGAATTAACGTTGAACCAACGTCAGACGCGGCATTCTTCAAAGCTAAATGAAAATCGAAAATTGGTTTGCTTTCATAACGTTGAAACAACGTTGATTTCAAGTTGATTTTCCGTTAGTTTTGAAAGAATGACGCGTCTGACGTTGGTTCAACGTTAATTCGATGAGCAAAACAATGTCAGATCAACGTTGTTTCGATGTTATGTTTCCACGTTGATTCAATGTCAGTTTACTATCTGGGGAAGCACTTCCTGTTTCAGTTTTTTAACACTACATAAAAGCTGGGATAAAATACAACCAACAGAACATTTAAAACTGAATCAAAAAGTTAAACAAACATCTTTAAGATGTTTTCTTTACATGTGAAATAAAGAAAACAGTTACAAACTGAAACAGGAAGTGCTTCTGGACCAGTGTTGTTTACATCTTGTGAAATGGTCTATAGAGAAACCGATCGTTAAGAGAAACTGAGGGCATGTAAATCTTTAGATGCCTATGACTATGTGCTGAATGGTCCTGTGCAAGACGTGTGTACGATCCGCAGTTTTGCCGAGCCAGGGCAGAGAAGACGACACTGTAAAGAGTGTCATTACGGTGTGATTTTAATCATGTGAATATTTTCTAGAAATAAAAAATCCAGATACATTATATTAATTCTTCATTGATACCAAACAACACAATAAGATGACATTTAAAAATAATAAAAGTAGTTTAAGCTCCTCATTATGTAGCCGAATCTGTGCTGGTTTGCATTGGCCGCCACCAGTTTTCACTTTGTTTTGCCTCCAGCTAGCGCCGTGACGTAACTGTGACGTCGACGCAAAAGGGGTCTATTAGATTGGAATGTGTGTGTAAACACACTAAATAAAGGTTCTTTATTAGCATCGATGATTCCATGTAGAAACATCCATGGAACCTTCCCAATACACAAAAGGTTCTTTATTCATACTTTGCACGTGACATCACAAGTACTGGCTGGCGGGCAAGAACGCCATTCTCCAGCAACAAAACCCAGTAAACTAGTCAAGAATCTTGCCAGGACGTCACCAGTTTTTATACAAAAGTTGGTGTTTCAAGGTGTAAATAAAACGCCACGCCAGATAGTTGTGGTGCGATTGGTTGCACTAACCAGATGAGAGAAGCAACCTTCACAGTATAATGTTACACCTCTGTGCAGTGATCATTCCATCACTTAAGGCAATTTCAACATTTGTTTGAATACAATTTGTTTGAATACAATCTTTACGTTAACCTGCAGTTTCATCAATAAACGCCGCAGGTGGTTGGGCGAGTCAGCTGTTTGTGTTATGAGGCTAACTGTATGTATGCTCACACCGCCGTTGCGAAAGTGGCAAAATTCATTTTGAAAAATGAATGACTTCTGGGCACTTCGATGCTCCCTGCCGGTGGCGGTGTAAACGCAGCGTCGTATTTTGTCGTATTTTGCTAAAAACAACAAAGGTGTGTGGTAGGTTGTTTTGAAGTTTGTGATATTTATGGTTTTCGATGAGAACAGTAGAGCTAGATAAATTTACGAAGAATTATTTTTGCTCGATGATCTAAAAAAAAACCTTGTCTGCTTTACACAATTGAACTACCTTCACCTTGGAGTTAATCCTAGTCCATAGTTATGCAGCTAGCTCGCTAACAGACTTAGCTACAATAAAGACGCGAAACTACAGGACTCTACGTTGAAAATACCCGTTTGTTGCCCGCCAGGCATCTATGGTAGTCACGTGACTGCAAAGTATGGATAGAGGAAATGGTTCTTTGGACATTTAAAATGTTTTTCAGACCAAGAAAAAAAAATGGTTATTTTATGGACTTTTCTGAAAGGTTCTTTAAGGAAGGTTTTTTTATGGCATCGCTGAGAAACTCCACTTTTGGAACCATTATTTTTAAGAGTGTATACTGAAGTTACAAGAAGTACTGTACCTAAGAAGCAAAACTGCTCCTTTTGATCCAACAGCAATGTCTGGGAGACTGTCTCCACTGTGATCTAGGGAGGACTGACTAAGAGCAAGTCCAAAAAAATGTAAACCTGGGCGCACAGCTGATCCAGTAATTCTCTAAACACAAAGAATAAGAGAAAGGGGAACTGTTTTAGATTAAGCCAAAGGTCATACAGAAGTGGTCTATTAGCGGCAGTCAACAAAAGGTTACAAGGCTAGGTACTAAAATTGGCAGACCTGTGAATATTTGGGGTTTATTTAATCTATTTCGCTATTGAAGATGTAGATGCTGCCCTGTCCATCCTCCTCTAAAGGAGCTCCAACCAGCACATCCATGAAACCATCACCATTCAGATCTGCTGGACTGGCCAGAGAAGAGCCAAACCGACCCCTCTGACCTGCCATGCCCACCAGCACGACAGAAAAATGAAGTATGGCTGCGAAAAAACAAACAGAAAAAGAACAAAACTTTTAAAAGACTAAATAAAGTCTAAAGGAATCTGGAATTTAGAATCTGGAATTAAACCATTTTAACCTATATTTAAATCCATCTTGTGCAAACTCCATTTTAGCAGAATCACCAGTGGACTGGACTCCTGAAAGAAAATACATTATTACATTAAAATAAAATAAGAAGTGGAAGAACTAGAAGAAGAATAAGTGATATATACCGTATAAGATGATGTGCTGATATAGCTGGAAGCGCAAAACTTTCTGTTTACAAGCAGAGGAAGATGCGCGCTGTGCACTTAAAAGCCTTTAATCTTCTCAAAAAACGACAGTGTTCCTTATAATCCGGAGCGCCTTATATATGGATCATCATTTTATACGGTAGGTGGCGGTAAAACTCCTAAGCGGTGAGCAGCCGGTAACAAAAAGTAGACGAATGAGAACGTCCTCGTCTCAGTTCTCGCGCATGCGCCCATAAGGAAGTAATGGAATAGAGGAATAAAGTCGTTATTTATGTTTTTTTCGCACAAAAAGTAGTCTCGTCGCTTGATAAACTTATAATTGAGCCGCTGTAGGCACATGGAATATTTAAACCTTTTCTTTAATGACTTTATGGGCCGTCAAGAGGCAGTCCCTTAGGCAGTCTATCTAGGACTGATCCAGCTCTCAGATTCAATCAAAAATATCTTTATTTGTGTTCCGAAGACGAACGAAGGTCTTACGGGGTTGGAACAGCAGATGGGGTGAGTAATTAATGACTTAATTTTCATAACCCTTTAAGCTCTGTGTTTTCTTCAGTCCTTTGTCACTTCTCGTTGAGTTATTTTTGGTTGTTCTGTTCATGTTTTCTAGTCGTGTCCTAAGTTCTTGGTCAACATTTACTAATACTGCATTTACAAACTTGAAGGTTGTCTGTTAATGTTATTTAATGGAACTGAGCTATAATGGACTAACGTGTAATAACGTAACATATTCATTGCTCATTGTTATAATGTAAGGTGAACCGTTAATGTTAAGTATAACTGAACCATAATTGACCCTTCTTGTAATACACAAATATTTTGTACTGGATCAACAATTTTATTGAAAAGACATGACTTAAAAGAGTGATTTGTTGAATGGACTCTCTTTGGGGGACTATTTTAATTATACTTTTTGTGTGATTTTGCATCCTTTTTTGATGCATGGATATTACCCCAAAAGCAAATCGGATGATGTTCTTCGCTGCCTTTTCAACAGCACCTCTGAGATGAGGTCCATCATTTTGATCTACCATCAGTGATAACAATTAAGATTTTAATAGCTGATTGCCTCACCCCTCCTTCAGCTATGAAGAGCTCATCCCTGTACATTGAAAATAAGACAAATCAGGATTGCTATTATAAGTTACATACAGTATGCATCTACCACAACGTTTGTAAATAAAACAGATTGCTACAGTATGTTTTATAAGAAATACTATTTCAGTCTATATACTTCAAAATTTCACATTTAACCCAGGTATTACTTGCTGTTGTTTATGCACTATACTGTATTTATTGTATTTGAACACAGAAAAGAAATACAGTTGTAATCGAAATTAAGTATACGTCATTAAAAGTTGCATTTGAAAGGGGTGTCGTACATCAGTTTATTCATAGCCTTCGCAGTGTAGGTCCATCCTTTTTGCTGTTTTATCTCTCCTATTCTTGTGCTCCATGAATGAATGTCTTTAACTGTTTCAAAGTTGGAGTGAATTTCATAACCAGTGGAGAACTGTGCAACAGCAAACTAAAAGACAAGAAAACATTCACACATAAAAATCTGTGTGATGGCCTGCAATGTGAACCACACTTTATGAGTCAGGTAAAAATTACCCTTCTGGAATCCTCAAACATAAAATCATACCTGAGAATTGCATTTGGAAAAAACTCTGGATTATGGTTATAACAAAAGTTTTCATTTTAATGAAAATCTGGGTCATCTACACTTTCAGAGCGTCCATTAGAAAAGCAATATCTATTTCTAGAGGGCAGCCTGTGAAATGAGGAGTTTAGCATATGATTAGATTAACAGAAATGCAAAAGGACAGGGATTTGGGTACTTCTTCATTTGACTTACTTCCAAAGCACTTGGTATATAGGTGCACTCACTATTGTTTCCACTGATATTAAAGCACATACCATTGAGGGTAGTAATATTTTGCAGTCCTTAGAATAGTTGGCCCACAAACCTGAGAGGGATTGAGAGTTTTTCATTTATCGATACGCCACAGCAAACACCAGTATGGAAGAGCAATATATACAATTAATATAAACATAAACTAAAGGGCTAAATGTACTTTTTATGCTAATGGTGCAACAAGCTTGCAACGAAACGCCTCTTAGGCAGCTGTTTCAGTCATGCGGAAACATCAAACTCTCCAAAGCTGACTTTATCTATAGCAAACAGAGCTTCTAACGGCAGCTGCAGTTACAAAATGACTTAGCAATCTGCAATCAAGTCTTTTACTTAAATTGTGTATTGCACATTCTCCTAATCATAAGTAATATGAGTGCACCATCTTTGTATCTAAAAACTGTGCTTCAGTTATTTCTTTTTTGCTAATTACAAGGGTTTTGGAATTGTACAGATAGCCCCAAATAAATCATATTAATTGTAATATTCTGCTTAAAATTAGCCTGAAGAATCTGTATAGTGTGTGTTGTTGTTTTTTTCATGTCAGGATGAGCACATAACTTACCACTGAATTGGAAGATTGTGTATCCTTAGTCATAAAAAACCCAAGAGACATGTTAACAGCTTCAGAAGGCACTTTCATGCATAGATAAATCGGTTTAGATGTGTAGATCAGACTTATTATGTAAAATGTGCGATATGAAAAGTTAAATACCATTAATTGGCACCGGCAGGCAAGTTCCTGTGAAATTGCACAACTATAAAGTTGTCGGTGATAAACGGATCACTCACAAGCAAACTATGGAAAGTAAAAGAAAAATATATGTTAGGTTTCAAATATATTTCATGTTTAAATGCATTGGGTTGATTTAATTCAGTTTAAGAAATCGGTAACACTTTACAATAGGGTGCACTAATATGCATTAATTTACGCTTAACTAATGCAGATAATCATGAGTTAATGTATAACT